AACGGTGTTCGAAATTATTTTCATAAAACTTTCAATTTACAAGCCTGATTACATTTAACCAGTTTGGGTTGTTAATGTGTTATGATTCATTAGATACACTGAAATTGTGTTCAGTACTGTAGTAAATAATTTTAAGCACGAGAGATATTTAAACAACAATTTTTATTTTACAAATAAGAAATATAACAATGCTAAAGGATGTCTATGTTTTTTATTTCAGGAAATCTACAGAGATCCACCCTTTTAAAACACAATGAATCCAAGGACCACAAAAATGCTGTGCAGGCTGATCACATGAGACAACAGCTGTATGGTACTGATCCAGAGGTAGAAAAAGAAGAACCCATCATACACATTTCAGAATCTACTTGTACCATGATTGATTAAAGAATTAAAAGTTTTCTGGAAATATTATTTTTTTTTTGTTATACCAATGAGCAATTATTTGAATGTTATCACTGAAGGGTTCTACACGGTTACCACTGTCCTTAAATAACAACAATACAGTCCTTTTCAGGGTAATGTTCTTCTATTTACCCAACAATCATGTAAAGATACTTTGAACTTAAAACATTAAAAGGAATGACATTTTCAGAATCTTGTGATTAAAATAATTGCTTTTACTTGTATCATCCCATACTATAAATCAAACATTGAAACATGAATATTATACGCGTAAGAACAACTGACTTCCAGAAATTTACCTCATGACTTCCAAAATTCCTTGAAAGGAAGTCCTGACTTCCTAAAAAAAAATCCTAGTGGAAGCCCTGATCTATACCTGAAAGTAGATTTGTAAGCTCTATTGAAATATTTTTTTAATACAAAAGCCAGGTATTACATAAATTTAAAACTGACAGATACTTATTTAGCTCATATTGCCAATATATTTTCCCCTTCCCTATAAGCTGTCAATAATATAAGCTGAGCTGATTGCCTAGCAATTTTATTTGCAACACACCTTAGTAATTCCTGGCTAAAACCCTGTACCTGTAGGTAATGTCTGGCCTTTCAAAACCTAATGACTTATGTGTGTCACACTGCCATATTTTATAACAAAATATGTAAAAAAATTGTTGATGATGACTTTGAAGAGCTCAGAGGCTAGTCGGAACCTACATCTCATGCAGAATAAAGCTTACAAACTTTTACTAGATCTTATATTATTTATCTATTGGTGATTTTTTTCCAATAAATTTGGAGAGATCTCATGCTATTGTTTTCTTATCTTCAGATACATACACTCAAAATGCATTTAAATAGAATAAGAAACATTTTTTTTTATGTCTTACAATGAGGACTACCTAGATTTGCCAAGGACTACCTGATCCTCAAAGTAGGTAGTCCTTCTGACTACCCCTAAAAAAAGTTAGTGTCAAGCCCTGTTATGCGTAAAATACGCACATTTGTGCGTAAATGGGAACACTGGATATCTTTTATTATTTATTTTATATAAAAACTATCAATATTAACAAACAAGCAACACATGCTTAGTTTACTGTTTTTACCGTCGCGAAAATAAGGTGACGTCTGTCCTCATTCAACCGTAACCCTTCTACGATAGAAGTATTAAGAAAAAACTAAACTTTTTTATTGAAAAATCATGGAAAAGAAACCTTAATGTGTTCAAATCTGACATTACTATGTTATTGTATGTTAAAAAAAGAAATGACCAAAAGCACACTAAAGTGTTTCCATTAACAGTTTTTAAGTAAGATTAATTATAGAGATGCTGCCATCTACCACAGGTCACTGCCTCCTGTCTGTCACGCACAATATATCCACAATCAATACAGTGGTCAGTCATAATGACATAAAATGATTAAACACAAAACACTATCAATTTTGCAAACACTTAGTAATATTCCAATATTTTTTTACACAGTAAATATTCTTTGAAAATAAGTTAATAAAATGCGAAACAAATATTAAGTATACTGATGAACGTATTCAATAAAAACATTCAAATGAACTGAAAAAAAGATTGTTGTAAACTTAATTTATACAAACCTTTTAACTCGAAATTCTAAGCATTTCTTCCTAATTATCGCATTTATTTTAACACTTATGAAATCATCTTTAATTTACATCGAATTTAAAGGATTTGTTTTCACAGCTATACCTTTTTTGTTAATTGATTGCTTTAAACTGTTTCATTATCACATCTATAATAATGTTGAGTTACATATAATTGTTGATGTTATATAATTTTTCATTATCACTATTGCGTATTAAAGTCTTAATCGGCGCAATTAAATTTACCTACACTTTTATGCAAATTTGCGTTTTTTTACTATTGTTTTATAGTTAATAATAATCAATTAATAATTTTATTCCATCATACAACAAAATCACCTGAATAGTTTTCTTTGAAAAATACATATTTTGGGGCCGGATTGACCGATTTTGGGGCCGCACTGACCAATTTTGGGGCCGCATTGACCAAATAAAAATACTGTGGGGCCGCATTGACCAATTTTGGGGCCGGGTTGACTTGGGGCCGGGTTAACTTGGGGCCGGGTTGACTGTAATTCCTTTTCCCCTACTACTATTATAATCTAGTTTTTATACAAAATGATTAAATATATATATTAATTGATTCATTTATTTATTGAAATGCTATTAATATATCGGTTTAAAATACAGTATTTATTCTGGGGCCGATTTGGTAAAGGGCCGAAACGTCCGGGGCCGAAACGTCTTGGGTAGTTTGGGGCCGATACGTCTTGGGGCCGAAATGTCTCGAAATCATCAAAATCACTGTCAAAATTATTTAGAATATATCCCGGGACAACCAATATTCAATCAGTTAAGCTGTTTTTAGCCAATATTAAATGGAACAGGAAATAATACTTTAAATTTATTTTAGCTATTAATGCATCTATCAACTCTTATTCATTTTAAGGTTGGTACATTTTCAACAAGTCTTGATCTTTCTTAGAAATTCAATAAAAATGATATGACCCACTTGGGCCACTCCCAGGAATATTTTAACCTAAATTCAAACAGCAGGGTAATCACCATGGAAAATTTGTTCAAGATAAATCAGGGCCTCTTAAAATTGTAGAAAATTTCACAACAGTCTATATTCAACGATTTTCAACAGTTTTTTTTCAAGATTTTAAAAACTCACACTAAATGTAATACCATATGTACAGTACAATGCATTGGTATGACTAAAGTTAATGTGTATAAAAAGCCAGTTGAAGGTGTCATGTCTTAGTACGATATTTAGGGTGCAAAATGATAAATACATCCAATCTTTACAGCCATTTTACCTTCCCCACTGTATAATATTATCAAATATGGGAATTTGTCTAGATCTGCCTGCTGGTATCGCTTACAAAACAATTATTCTACAATCATCACATGAAAAAAATTGATAACAATATAAGATTTTATTAATAAGGACCCCCATGTAAAGTCTGATGAATATTTAGTGGTACATCATATAAATAAATGTTTTAAATACACCTAGGACTGAGGTAAATGGTAAAACTCTTTAGCCAATACTTTATAAAAAAACTTATTTGTTTGGAAAAATATTACCACTATTTTAAACGAGTGACTATTTTGATATAGTTAAAATTGGTCAATTTATATTGTGTCAATTAAAACAAACAGTTTCTTATTGTTTTTCTGATAACATTTGACAATTAATCAAGTGTGGCATTTCTGGAAGTTTTGAAGTTAATACAACATGTGACTTTATGCAATTTAGTCGGACATAAAATCAGGGGTACCACTAAAATACGCAACGGAGATATTTTGGCGCAACGGACGCAACGGGCGCAACGGAGATATTTTTTTAGAAAAACCGACACAACGCCTTTTTTTAAAGTCAATGTGCTATATTTAAGCATCTTTAATATTCTTAAATGATTGTTTAGCACTATTAAGTAAGTATGTTTTAAAATGTTTCATAAATTGTATATGTTTAATTGCACTGAAGGATTATATGCCTGGCGAAATGGAAATTTCATGGCGCAACGGAGATATTTTTTTAGAAAAAACCGACACAACGCCTTTTTTAAAGTCAATATGCTAAATTTGAGCATCTAAAATGATTGTTTAGCACTTTTAAGTAAGTATGTTTTAAAATGTTTCATAAATTGTATATGTTTACACTGAAGGATTATATATGCCTGGCGAAATGGAAATTTCATGGCACAACGGAGATAATTTTGGAAAATCGGCACAACGTTTGTACTAATATATGTAATTAATTAACACCAATGTTATTTGAATAAATAAATTTATTTTACGATTAAGATCTAAAAACTATAATCGTATATCAAATAATCAAATAGCTGCAATGTTGATGTTGTAAAGGATTGTGTGCCGGCAAAATGGACATTTTGTCTGCGCAACGGAGATTTTTTTGGCGCAACGGAATTTAAAATGGCCTAATTAAGTAGTAATATGAAGAAGTAAATCATTAAAGATATTAACTGAATAACTGAAGTGGTGTAATAAAAGACTGTTTTATTAATTTAAAAATGGAATTAAATACGTTTTTATCGTTATGGCTGACACTGGAAGTAAATCATTAAAGATATTAACTGAATAACTGAAGTGGTGTAATAAAAGACTTTTTTTTAAAAATTAAAAATGGAATTAAATACGTTTTTATCGTTATGGCTGACACTGGAAGACAAGAATGGACTTTACAATCTGTTTACAAAATAGAGAAACATTAAGGAAATCTATATTATCTATGATAATAATATTGAGTTTTATATTAACTTGAATACTTTCAAGCACATCTTTGTATTTTTTCTGAGTCATTACATAACATCATGACATTGAGTCAAAAGAGGTGACATTGACCTTTTGGAAGGTCAATTTCAAATATTTGATACATTTGAGCATAAAATGTGAAAAAAAAAATTTGCAAATTTTAATTTGTAAAAAAGCTTCGCTAAGCATAAGCACAAGAATGTCATGACTTTTACAAAGCGTCACTCGCCTCTGTAATTTCTGGTCGACCAATCTTTCACTTTTTATCACTAGATGGTAGCACCTGAAATTCTTCTGGTATATCTTTTCCAGTTCTGAAATTAGAGGAGCATAAACATGTTTGATGGTAAAGAGCATCGGCTACAAGCAAGTTGTGAACCTGTTCTATCCTTGCTCTCACTGTATCAGACAAACAGTCATTCCTCTGTATACATATATTCAAAACAGTAGGTTCTAGTGTCCTTACTGGCGAAACATCACACTTCCTTGTTTTACCCTTACTTATTAAAGATTGACCACAATATAAACAATCTTTTTTGTATGAAAACTTATCAGTCATTGATCTCAATGGTGGCATCAGTGTTTTCTTTTTCTGTCTCAGTGTCTCTTTTAGTGTAATGTTGGTTACAGTACATCTTTCTACACTCAATGTGAATATATTATTCCGATTCAACTTTTATTTCTCACTGGCAGCATTTATTCCCTTGCATTCCTTTTCGTTGCCTTTAACTGTCTTTGTATGATCATCAAACAGCCGTTAACAAATCCGACAGGAGTTCATCTTGAAAAAAACAACAATAACTGATATTGTAAGATTTATAAAATCTGTTTTTTACATTATATGGAGGTTGATCCAGAATTACCCAAAATTTGTTTATAATTCTGATAACTTTTTATGTTTTCTTCATTAAATTTATAAATGCGCAAAGATCGATGTTTCTTTTATTTAATTGCCAAATATAATTGATTATAAACATCCAGTACCGTCTCAGGCCGCCTTAAAAAAAACCTGGATACGCCACAGCAGCGCAACTCAAAGAACACGACGTTCGTTGAAATTTATAATACACCAAAGTGCCCGACACAAAAAGGGATCATGTCCAATATTTGCCGAAGGTTAATGTAAAGCCTGCTAAAATTTCACGTCGTTTGAACATTGTATTATAATAATTGTGTAATCATTTGTAATTGCAACGTTTATTTATGCAAAAACGTCTTCATTAAGGCGTCGGAAAACGGCACTTTCATAAACATTTGTCAACTGTTTAGACAGCCTACCATAGAAACATCTAATATGATATAAGAAATTCGACACAAGTATTTTGTTAGTCATGCATACAAAACTTTTTGAGGGGAAAAGAAGTTTATTTACTAGACTGTTGGAGTAATTTTAAAGAGAAATACATATCGTTTGCGGCATAGAAGAATACGCGTGAAGTTAACGTTCTCCGTCGCTGTGGCGATTGAAAAATACAAATATGCTGTCATATGCGGCCTTGCGCACAATTTCAATGCGATTTAAAAAAAAATGAATTCTAATTGACGATTATGTGCTGTTTTTCATACTTTATTTGTTTTCTTTTACATGCACTTTTTATCTAATTAAATAAAATTAATCATATATTTTATGCCTTCAACTTTAAGATGATCAGGAGTATGAATCACAGCAATCAAAGCAATTAGCAGTTCAATAGTCATGGGTTTAGGTTGTTAGTACACTTACAGCGAATGGCATCGGGAGGATTCCCTATGTATAAGAACAATAGAACATCAACCTTTTTGCATAATGTGACAAATCCTATGTTTGCTTATATGGTAGGCATACTGTGTTTAATTATCATATTCTTGTTTCCTTGTAAAGAGGATATATTACGCAGAAATAAAGTGTTTGTTATATGAACTTTGAATAAATATTATTGAATTTATTGTTTAAATTACGGGTATTTCTGGATCATCCCTTGCATTCTTGTATTCTTGTTATTGGTAGCTGATTACGTATTGTTTCAGTTATCCCAGAACAGTACGTGTTATTATAAGATGTGTTTTTCCTAAAAGGCTTTCCTTAAAATGTTTTAGGTGTATTTATTTGATCAAAGTTGCTGATATGACACACTTTTCTTGCATATCAGACTGGCGTTTCCGTTAGTATTACCCATGCCGGAAATTTCATCTGGCATAGGGGGTGCCAGATGAGTCGCGTGCTCTACAATGTCACGCTTAAGCCCCAGTCACATTAGAGCTTACGACCAGTGAAGACCAGTTCACGATCATCCATGACCTCTGGTCGCGGACAATCTTTAAAACCTCTTACGACGGTCATCGGTGATCTTTGACAGTCGCAGGCTATCTTTTTTAGGTCCCACGACCAATTTCAGTCGTAGAGAGGTTTTTGAGCTTGCACAAATACCTCCTTGCGATCAAACAGGTCGCTTATGATCTTATAAGGTCTTAGGCTGTCGCACGATGGTCGTTCAGAAGTGCGACAATCTTACGACAGTCTTTACAAATTGCCACTAGCCACTGATAATCTTGAGTAGTCTTTAGTAATCGTGTGATGGTCGTACGACTAGTTGTAGGTGATCGCATGACAGGTCACGGGTAGTCGTAAGTAATCCCACACAATGTTGAGACCATCGTACGTTTGCTTATGACCTGTCGTGCGATTGTCAATGATGACTGGTCTTACGATAGTCGCAGAAGTAAATTTATACGTGCAAAAATGGTTTTGGTCGCAGACAATCGCTGATGATCGTCAGTTTTACAAGTCGCCGGGGATCTTAAGCTCTAGTGTGACTGGGGTTTTAGGATGACGTAATTTTACCGTTATGAATGAAGTTGTAATTTCATACGCTGTTGTACGAAAATAGTTTCGGTTGTAATGGCATAAATTCCCATTGAAAATTAAGAAAAAGAATTCAAAATATAATGTTATATCGTAAAATATGCAAGAAAAAATATCTGACAGAAGTATATTTTTCATGTCACCTTTTCATGTATAAATTTCTTCTATGTCTATTAAAAACTGAAAATAATTTCAGATATTATATTGAATTATGCATACGACGCTCTATTTCCTCCATGTTTAATATTCACTTAAACTAGTAAGAGATAATGTTTGATATTTGTGTTACATATGTAAAAATATTACATACATTATATATGTAAAGCAATTTTAAAAAACTATTAAAAAATACAAAAAAAAAACAACCTTGAATACACATTTAACAATAAAACATGATTAAAGTATTCAGAATTTATTCAACGTAATTCGTCATAATTAAAGTGATAATGGCGCTCCATAGTTTAAAAATACTGTCGAAATTAACTTGTTTTAAATACACATTTTTTGGCCGTTTTTGAATGTTTACTACGACAGGAGTTAATCAGAGTTGTAATTTATATAAATTAAACTGTTTTACATGAAAAGTATAATACAGATCGCTTGAAACACCTGTTGACCTTCAACGGATAAAGAACTGGTAAAACAAGTAATAATTTTCAACAAATACTCATAATAAACTTACGACCCCACATTAATAATTCCTATTATGATCTGTAATATTTTAAGGAAAATATACCAACCCACTTTACAGTGTACTTTACTGACATTTATTTTGTTTACACTAATTTTGTTGTTGTTGTCGCCATTATGCAGTCGCTATTCTGAGTATCGGAGACGCTTTGTTCGCCTATGGAAGACCGTTGTCGTCAGAAAAAAATCACAAAAAATAACGCTATAAAAACCCGTTTTTTTTCTATGTTGCGCAACTTAGATTTTGCTAGACTTTTGATATGATTCATGTTATTCCATATACTTTCTATACCAGGTAAAATATTTTCTGTTGCAATTTGTTTGAGGTCGATTTACAGACTGACTGGACTATTTCCTTTATTTTAGAAAATGTTGAAAATAGGATATTGTAAAAGATATTTAAATTACAGCAAAATGGACTATTTCGGCGCAACGGGGATTATCATAACAGTTTTATCATATTATATTATTTTATTAATTTATTATCTTTCATTAATCATTGTGTACTTTTTCAATAATTGTTTGTTACGTATACATTGTATATTTCATCAAAAGCAATCCAAATATTTCATAATTATGATATTGACAAAAGGTAATCAATTACACGAGAATTGTTAGCAATTAGCAACGTATTGTGCACGTGAATGGTACGGGTGTTTAATAATGTTTTTAACACTTGTAATAGAAAACTTGACCGTCATCAGTGGTGGATTCAGACTCCAAAAAGTTTTATTACGTCTCACATTTCATATACACATTTTTTCTCATAGTTTGAGTGAAATATTGGCGTAATAAGCTTCAAAAGCAATATTTTCGACAATAACAAGTTATAGAAAAATATTTAATACCTTAAAGTCAATACATGTTCCTCTTAATCACATTATCTAAATGGTGTGAAAACGCGTGTCCAATAAACATCAACCACGTGTCATTGGTAATTTAATTATCGGTACTTAACACCCGTGATAAACATTCTTCAAATCACCAAATTGCTGTTGTTTCGCTAAATAAACAGTAGCTGCATTTGATTTTAACGGGGTTTTCTGATTGGGGAAGGAATTCTTATAAGTAACGTTCAATTTAATTATTTTATGTTTTTTACTGTTTTAAAATGGCAATAGAAAGAACAGCAAAGTCGTTTTACTATTTTAATAACTTCATCAAACAATTAATATTTTACTATTTTTAATTTTAAAAATATTTTAATCATTATAAAAAATATAATGTAATATGGTTAGCAATTTGCTTGCTACTGGTCATGCTTTTAACAAATAAAGTAATTTGCTTATATATTCCCGGCAGCAGAAATAAGAAAATAGTTTTTACAGTTACAAAATTATAGGATCAAATTTAAACGAGTACTAACAGATTGAACGGGAAAAAATGAAACAGATTGTAAAATCCATACTTGCCTTTTCAGTGTCAGCCATAACGATAAAAACGTATTTAATTCCATTTTTGAATTAATAAAACAGACTTTTATTACACCACTTCAGTAATTCAGTTCATATCTTTAATGATTTACTTCTTCATACTACAACTTAATTAGGACAAACATTGTTTTCTTTGAAATTCCGTTGAGCCAAAAAAAATCTCTGTTGCGCCGACAAAATGTCCATTTCGCCGGCACACTATCCTTTACAACATCAACATTGCAGCTATTTGATTATTTGATATATGATTAAGGTTTTTAAATATTTTTTTTTTAATTTATTTATTCAAATAACATTGGTGTTAATTAATTTCATATATTAGTACATACGTTGTGCCAATTTTCCAAAATTATCTCCGTTGCGCCATGAAATTTCCATTTCGCCAGGCATATATAATCCTTCAGTGTAAACATATACAATTTATGAAACATTTTAAAACATACTTACTTAAAAGTGCTAAACAATCATTTTAGATGCTCAAATACAGCATATTGACTTAAAAAAGGTGCTATGTCGGTTTTTTTTCTAAAAAAATATCTCCGTTGCGCCATGAAATTTCCATTTCGCCAGGCATATAACCCTTCAGTGCAATTAAACATATACAATTTATGAAACATTTTAAAACATACTTATTTAATAGTGCTAAACAATCGTTTTAGATGCTTAAATATAGCAAATTGGCTTTAAAAAAAGGCGTTGTGCCGGTTTTTTTAAAAAAATATCTCCGTTGCGCCCGTTGCGTCCGTTGCGCCAAAAAATCTCCGTTGCGTATTTTAGTGGTACCGTAAAATCAGTGCAACAGAATTAAGAATGTGTTTGAATTTAGGTTGTGATTGAAAATTGGTTGTTTCGGGATATATTGATGATTGCTGTCATTATTTGTCACTATTCCCTATGAATTAAATAATAAAGCGTGCATGTAATATACGGTGACTGAGGCCCGTCAGTTCTACTCGCTAAGTTAATTTGAAAACAATTGTGAGAAAAATTTTATTTTTTAATAAATAAATTTATGAATTAGAAATCAAAAATACGCTACAAACTACAACTTTCACGCTTTTAAATTTACAAAGGAAAATAACGAAATTGTTGAATAGAAAGAATAAAGAAGCGTTATTAAACGTAAAGTTAAAAAAAGTAAAATTTGTAAGAGAAGAGGTGATGATTCATCGTAGAGGATGCTGAAAAAAATAACAACAGATGCCTGACCTGCCGAAATTGTGTCAATCAAATCATATTTCGCAGCTAGGTTTGGGTATTCTCGGAGTTTTCTGCAACTTAAACTTATTTCCCCTGTATGCTGTGCATCCTCAAAAACACGTTCTATCGGTTTGGAAAGCGACGTTGGGCTTTGTGAGCCGCCTCCATGAAAGTTTGACGCCATTTTCTGGCGAATATTTTACATTGACTACGCATGCGCAGTTTTATCGGCTCGTACTTTTAGTAACACGTATTTTTCATATTTGTTTTGTGGCTGAAGACCGCTATACAGTTATAGTCTGTTAAAGCATATCAAAGTACTTTGAATAGTTAGGCCGATTACCGAACAGTTTTCAACTTATATACATCTACTTCATCAGGTTACTCTCGAATGTAACTGGTACACGGGGGGATGAACTGTTAAATGGAGGATGGAATTCTTAAGATAACTTGCCAGGAGTCCTTGTGATAACTGTCACAGATTTCCTGGAAAATCTTAAGGATTTTGTCGGAAAACTTTTGTATATTCCGAAGAAACACTCGTCAAAAATAGAAATTTTCGTCTTTAAGAAGATAGATGTTTTAGGTGTTAAATGTAACTTTGATTATTAAGTTTGCCTTACATATTGTATTATGTGTAAAAAGACACATAACTTTACAGCCCATTTTTAACCGCCATTTGTTTAAAATCTGGTAGTTTTGAGTAAATTTTCAAAATAATTTGCTCATTCTTACATATATTGACGCGTTCATTTGTGATTTTCTTCATTGCCATACTCAATTACCTAATGTGAAAAGTTGCAAATATAAAATAGAGAAAAACAGAATCCCTAAAGAAAGCCCAGAACGACAAAATTAAAAATGTTGCAGGCTCGGTTTCATTGAGTCTGTTCATAAAGCCTCTTTTTCAAAAATTTTAGACCAGCTGTTTGCTTAAGAACTATATTTCAATTAACACCTTTATATACGTTTTACCTGCTATTCAAAATGCAATATCTGTAGCATAAAGCCCAACAACTTTATGCCCTATTTTTCAAAATTAATGTCTTGGATCGAGTTCTTCTGATAACTTTTGTTACAGCCAGTGTGTTTCTTACGCTTAGTTACGGCACGATTTAGTGTTTGTTGTTTTATTATAATTATCATCATCATCATCATCATCATATCATCATCATCATCATCATTATTATTATTATTATTATTATTATTATTATTATTATTATTATTATTGAATAAGGGTGTAAATCATTTTGAAACATAGTACGCTTATCTTTACACACACATTTGGTTGTGTACTGAAACAAAAAAGAAACTTTCTCCAAGTTTGAATGTAGATATGTTAGTACAGTTTTTCAATCCTTTTATAACTCGATTTTTACGTTGAATAAACATATCAGGCTTTTATACGGGGATTCGCTGACCGATTTTGCAAACAAAGCTACTACATGTATATAAGTGTGCCTTGAACAACTGGCACATACTTTGCGAAAGTTTCTTTTTTGGTTCAGTATATAATGTTGGTTTTGAGTGTATTTTAGTTCAAGAGATATTACTAAACATTGATACTGGTAACCTTTTTTTTAAAATACATCGAAAGATCAAATGTTTACATGATTCTCCAGCATTACTAGAAAAAGTTTATTTGTCATGTAATTTATCCATCATGGGTATGTAAGCATCGTTATTAGTAATCTTAAATCAGAACAAGATCACAACAACATATCCTGTTTTAGATTTTATATTACTGTTAATACTTGATATAAATATAATATGACTACATACTCAAGATCCACGTGAACTATTTACGTCTGAGTGACTGGGCGGGAAATGAGAATCATTATGATTTTCCATAATCAGACAAGCCACACAAACACGAACATTTAGTAATTTAATTTAATTGCAAGAAAAATGCCTAAAAAAACTATCCAAGAAAAATGCCTGATAGCCGGCCATTCTCCACTTTTTTCGAAACTTTTGAGTAAACTGTGAATTCAACAAGCATGGACTTATAATGCTAATGCAAAAGCGATTTTTATTATTAAATTTCACATGTATGCCATCGTACGTTTTCAAAACAATATGATTATATACATTAAAATAACAATATTTATCAATTTAAATTTATTTAAATTTATTTAATTTTATTTATTTATTTAATTTTTTTTTTTTTTTTTTTTTTTTTTTTTTTTTTTTTTTTTTTTTTTTTTTTTTATGATTTTCCATGTCATTTAACATTTGTTAGCCTCACCATTATTATAATCATCATCACCGCCAACACAACCACCACCACCTTCATCAGCAGCAGCAGCAGCAGCACCACCACCACCAACAACAACATGGTCCTTGTCATCATCATCATCATCATCATCATCATCATCATCATCATCATCATCATCATCATCATCATCAACAACAACAACAACAACAGTGCATCACTACCACAACTACCACCACCATGATTATAACTAATTTGTTCTTTACTCTTTTGATATATTCGGTATGACTTGCCTATGTCACCAGAATATTATAGCGGAGTCTGCCTGAGCATCTAAACCGTTTGAAAATTGTTTATACCCTTAATTTCCTTATACGAGGGTTGTTCAAAAAGTAATAGGACTGCAGCTCTACTGTTCACATTTTTTATTTTAAGTGCATAACTTTACAAGAAACAAATATCGGAACATGTTCTCTATATACAGTGAAAAAATCGATACAAAATGTTTACAAATAACAATTCTGTGAAATTTTCAAATGACAAGGGGTATGAAACCCGGCGCATGCTGACAATACAATAAATGACTTTAATGACGTCGTTAACTAAACACAAAATATAACAAGTGTCATCCATCCTGAAAGTATTCTCCCTAGTGCTCTAAGTGTCTGAATCGTGTGACCATGATCAGGTCTCATATGTGGAGATTAAGCGAGAAAGAAAGAGATCACAATTTTGTTTAACTATCCAAGAAAAATGCCTGATAGCCGGCCATTCTCCACTTTTTTCGAAACTTTTGAGTAAACTGTGAATTCAACAAGCATGGACTTATAATGCTAATGCAAAAGCGATTTTTATTATTAAATTTCACATGTATGCCATCGTACGTTTTCAAAACAATATGATTATATACATTAAAATAACAATATTTATCAATTTAAAAGTATAATTTATTAAAACAAAATTGGGGGAAAAATACTACAAATTATTAACGTTAATCATTATTATATTAATTTATTAAAACCACGGATTTATATTACAATAGAGTAATATAAATCCGTGTTAAAACCAAGTATATCTAATGCGATACAATAAAATAGTGTTTAATAGAAACGTCTTATATACAATCCTTTGGTGACAACTAAATAAGTAGACCCGAAGCAGACATTATAAGTGCCGGACAGCCCGCGTCGATCCATTTACAACGACGTCACTAACGTCCCCTCAATTTTCCGCTTTCATCCTTACACTTTCCTGTTAGAGATTTTGTATTCGTCGTTTTTAACTTGATTGTACCAGCTGAAAACGAGAATCCTGGTGGCAGGATATTTTTTGTTTCTTAATTTTATCATTGTGTATGTATCTGAAAGTATGATTGCCACTTTGTTGGCACAAATTAACGATGGAACTAATTTGTGTTTGCTACCGAGTGCCGTATTTCTACATTTAACGTCATGACCACAGCTGTTCAAAACTACATAATTATGCAATTTCATGCCCGAATGACGTCAAATTTATATATAATGTCACTTAAATATAAGTAAATGTGTTGGTGGAATATATGGACAAACAGAGTATAAATTATTAATAAATTAGAAGTACAATTTAGCTCAAATAACTATTTTTATGTGCTGCGCCGGGTGCGTGTTACCATGGTTATTCAATATCACAGGAATCGGGCATTCATCACAATAAATTGATAAACTTATGCATAAATTGTAGAAAACATTTTACGATTCCTTTACATATGGAAATATTCTCAATTGAATGAAATATGAATATGATTGCAAGACTTTCAGTCCTATTATTTTTTTTAACAACCCTCGTATTATTAGTAGTAATTTGATATGTAAATCTCTTACATTAACAATGGATTATTTAAATTAAGTCTTAAAATAATTATGTCAATTCAGTGATACGAATTTAGCAGGATAAGGATTGGGGAAAGAAGTTTAAAACTCCACTGAGGTTTTAAGACACGATGGAACTGGAAATAATTTTTTGAGATTTCGTGTTCCATTTGATGTAGGGCTGGAAATCTTCAGATCATTCGCTCACTTCTTCTTTTTTTGTTGGGGGGGGGGGGGGAATAATTTTTCTAATGGTAAAAAATGACCCCCCCCCCCCAATAAAAAAAAGAAGAAAACAAGAAAAGCGTTGCAACGCTTTTCACTTAAATCCAGCTTAGAATAGCAGATGTCGATTTTCAATTTAATTCTGAGTTATTTTTGTTTTTTGTTTTTTTTTCTTTTGGATCTCAGTGTCTGTGCAGTTCAGCTCGCAGTTAAAATAGAAAAGGAGAGAGACAATTATACTACAAGAGAAGATTCGTCGAAACTGTTCATTAAACTTGATAGAAACAGAATATCACTTTTTACTAAAATACACATTGTATGTTCGAAATACCAAAGAGAATTTTTTCATAACCTTATTTTTGGTATCTAATGCTTACAATGCAGACGTTTGAAACATGTATTTCAAATACGTGACCAATGATTAAAGTACATGTATTAATTATTAATATAACTTACATTATGCATTAAAAAAACAACAACTTTGGTTTCATTTTGTTATCTTTATAATAATTTATATCTTATTCAGCGCGATTGTCATCTGGTGATAGGCACCTCAAATAACAACAACTGTACAAAGCGCATGTTTCCCCTTTCTCCAGAATGATTTTATTTTTCGTTTGTATCAGCACAAGGGAGATAATAACCCTACAGCAAGATACATAGTGCATGGAATGGTTATGTTATCCTAGTCATTTGTTTTTGTAACATAGACTTTCCGTGATTCTGTACGTATTTCATTTCTGCATTAAAGCTGCATGCCTCCAGATAAGACAAAAGTACTGCTATTTTAAGAAAAGTAAAAATATTCAAGATATAGGTAATAAGTTCCATGTTATGAGCGATTATGACCAAATTTACAGTAATTTTACTATATTTATACTGTGTTACTAACGCAGTAAGGGCTACGTTTGCATATTTTGCCGTCTTTTTTGATAATTTGCATAGGTTGAAAGTGCTGCCTGCAATGCGAAAAATATTTTTTTTGCTCCACTTCACAAAGTCAAATTCTTGTTATTAAAAGGAAAACCCGGAAAAACCCAAAAAAGTTAAGGCTCACACCATATGGAAAAATGGGGAAAGCCAACCCCCCAATTTTACGGGACAAAAAGAGAGTACTGGGGGCTAAATTGTATCATTTTTTAAAATACATGTAATTTCAAATTTTTTTATTACTGCAAATATAAAATTTTAAGTAAGTACATTTTATGCATGTTTTTTTAAAGTCGGTAATGTTTAAAATTTTTCTAAAACATGTAAACAAAATCTGAATAATCTTAAATAATGTTAAAGGAACTCCACTGAGGTTTATAAGCCTAAAAATATAAAATTTTAATTTTTCACATAGATAAACATGCACTTAAAACAGAACTATAAATAAGTTATAATTAAGAAATCTACAAGAAATATATTGAAAATCGTATGTTTGTGCTATTTTCAGTCCGATTTGAGTGAAAAGCGTTTAAATGCTTTTCAATTTTGTGTCATTTTTCACTATTATAATAATTATTCTGGAAAAACGGAGCGAGCTAATGATCTGAAATTTTGCACATAAGTTATTGTTATAGATCTACATCAAATTGAGTAATAATCTCAAAAAAAATTATTTCCAGTCCCGTCATGTCAAAAAACCTCAGTGGAGTCCCTTTAAGGGTAGATTTTCGAAATCTTCATAAACGCCTTTATGTTTATATCAAGCTTACCATTGGAATTTTGTGAGTTCAAATGGTATGTTCACTATTAAAGGTTGAATAAACACACGACTGTAAATATCATAGTTTTTAACCTTTAATTTAAATACTGAATAAAATTTAAACTGGGTTATGCTATTTTATGCAATGCTATGCATAGAATGCCTTGCCGTGCCTTGTTATGCCGTGCCGTGCCAAAATTAATTAATTTGAATTTGTTTCAACCCATGCTAAATATGACCACATTGACTTCTTCATTCGTTTTGAGAAAAGACTTCATCCCTTAGGCTATATCGTTAATACATGTATCAAATTCGGCAATAACAATATGGCCTCAGGTCTGGCCTAAACTTTTCGATACATTTTGGTGCATCATTGTATTTATTTATTCTGCTAATCGACTCTCCGTGCAATTTAACATCCCATGTCTTCATGTCCATAATAAAAGAGGCTTCAAATATCGCAGAACTTGGCTCAGTTTCGAATGTAATCTGGTAGTGCACTAACTCAGCGTTTAACATGTCACTAAAATCAGCATTGCCATCAAAACTATTCTTAAACTTTAGAACGTTTGAGTCTGTTTTAAATGAAATTGCATTTAAAATGTTTTTAAGTGATAGTTTGTGACAAAGAATGAAAAATTTTCTAAGCCGGCCATTTATATAATGTAACGCATGCTGAACGCATCGTATTGCTCTCGGGTCGGAAACGGAAACAGTCTCTGACTTGAGACATGCGCACCAGTGCGGTTCAATACCAGCGTCTGCGCATGTCCGCTCTCGTGGAACAGGAGAAAACAGCGAGTAAATTGTTCTATTTATATTTGTATGGTTACCTGTTTCCCCTATGATCTCAAGAAGAGTTTCATGAATATCTGAGGGAACAGTAAGTCGCTTTGTATTTTCCAGAAATGTTCGATATCTTTTGGGGAACTTGCTTCGGAATTTTGGAGGAATAAATACACCGAAGTAGGGTTGTCTTTCTTCCAGTTTTCCTTGTTCTGTCATTCGAAAATACCCGAAACGACGACCATGATCACTCATTAATATAAGAAATGTATTTTTCAGAACGTTTTTATGGTAAAGATATTTTAAAAATTCAACATTATAATTATCTATTTTTGGCATTTGCAAGTAACCATCGTGGCTATATCTTGCCATGAAACCCAACGTAAAAAATGGTTTTCCTTTGTTTGTTTCTAATCCTTCTTTAATCCAATCTAAATACACTTTGTAACTTGGCCTTTCACCTATGCAGTAGTCATGTTTCATCGTATTTCCAACAGACAGGAAGAATGGCCTCATATAGTGAGTTACAGGTTGTTTAGAAAATCCTAGTACCCTGTAGAAGAAAGCACCAGCCATCGGATAATCTTCGGCCCATTGTGTAACATATGAATTGTTTTCATATTTTTTCCACACGAAATCTAGAACCTCGTCTACGTGTCTTGCTCCTGGAAACCCCCGTCGAATTTCCGGTATTTCAGTCATGCGCTTTCCAGTAAACATTGGCATTAGATTTCGCGTTGTACCATCTCCAACAATATTGTATCCCTCTAGTAAGGAACCATGTAATGTTTTTGTAAAATACTCGTGTGTTTTCGGCAAAAGTCGTTGAAACATTTGTCGAGAGAAAGAGTCTAGACCGAGGATTATAACGTTGAATTTATTTTCATTTGATATTTTACTCTGATTTGCAGTGGGTTGTTTATTTATTGAAATACATGCATGATAATTGTCGTACTTACTTCCGTTGGCGGATTTGCACAAAGCTTTGAACGCGTCTGTTAGAAGATCACTGTTGTTAAGCATTGGATATATAAGTTTAAGCCGTTTATAATTGTCGTTAAAATTACTAATTGGTATATATGTACAGTTTATCTCTCCATATCGTTTAACTGCCGATGAAGAAATGTAGAACTTTCCATTTCCGGTATACACCCATTCGTCGTCTGCGTTTCCACATGTTATGCTTTTGTTACTGACAGACCTTACGTCAAAATCGTTCCATATGGACAAGTCTGGGTGAACACACGCTTGTTTCTTCAGTTCTTTAAATTTATTGATACTATATTTATCGAAATATTGCAAAATTTGGTCATCTCTATTTAATCCGGTGATGAATACGATTACACAGATAGACGATAGACACATACCGACAAAAATAGCACATCTTCGCTTCATATTTTTCTGAAATGCGCAAAGTCGCAGAAATGGAATTTCAATGTTTTTCGTTCCCTGAAATAAGGAAAGACAATTTAGGGAAAAAACAATAAACAACAAAAACAACAACAAAAACATGTAGCTCTAATACAACGTCGGGCATTTTTGCATGTTTTGCAAAACTAATTTTATCATCATTAAAGGCCCATTAAGCCCAAAATATTATTTATATTTTTTTCAAAACCTTGTAATTCTTGGTGTCCAGTTGCAGTGTCTAGACAGTTTATCACTAGCTATATAGCAAAACAATCTCTTACTTCTTTTGTATTTTCACATTAAGGTTTAGTTATACATAAAAGTAGTGTTTTAGTATTTTGTATGAAGTCAAGATACTAGTTTTCTTACGTTTTGCTAAATTTATGACAACTTATTTCACATTAGGCATCCCGTTCTTCGTGTGATACGCAATTCTAACATGCTCTTAACTTCATAAATAGTATTTTAAAACGCCTGTATGCCTTTTCGAAGGACGAAAAAAAAGAAGATGTTTTCATGTCTGAGACTTATTGTGCGTTTAAACAAAGTTTGAAGAGTATACATGGGAGTCACGTTGTGTTTTTACGGATTGTCTGTTACAGTTTTCATATTCGGAGAATAACTCGTGGCTAACACTTGTCTGAATTACATGCCCCTAACTGCTTAAACAGCAATCTCCTACGCAGTGATCTACCCTTATCATTACACTATGCCAAGGGAGGCAATCAGTATGACATTTTAATTATCTCCCCTGATCATTTTTAAATTATGTCTGGTGCATGAGAACTTCAAACCACACACAAGGGCTTCGATTCTATTTTTTGATTTGGAACAAAATGCAATTTTAAACTTTACATTAGATTGGCGAACAAGTGGGAAAGAGCAATAAATCGTAAATCTATACGCTATGATTTTTTAATCAACACCCATTTCAATCTTAAAGTTTACCACTGCACTGTGTGGATAACAATTAAAAAAAACCTGATTTTTTGTTGCAGTTCTATAGATTGTTAACTATTCAACCCTGCTACTAGGATTTGCTCATGACACCAGAATCTTAGCAGTAAAAAAAGAATACTGTTTACTTACCGACAATGCACAATTCGCCATGCGTAGTTTTTTCGGGAATCATACGTATTTCCATTTAGTACAAAAACGAAATGTTATTAAACTTTCGACTCCATAATCATGATAGAATGAAATCAGTACATGTGATACACAATAATACTATTATAGCATTTCAAAATCTTGGAAATAATGGATAATGAAACAACTTTTCTATGTCAAAGAGCTCAAACGTACTTAAACCTTAATCCCTATGATCCTAATGTTGATCCCAGACCGTTAATCTTGTTAAATCTGCCCAAAAGTTGTTCGTCTCTTGCCTAAAAATACAACACCAAAAAATGCAAGGCTATTCAATGTTATATAATCTGGGCTAGTGTGTTTTGTTGTGCATTTGTGGATTAACTTGTGTGAAAGATAATAAATCAGACAAAAGCACCTGATCATTTTCATTTACACTGATTATAAAATTGTATATTATTTACGGTAACAATTGAGCTTTTAGCGACTTTCTCTAGACATGTTTTGACATGCAGCAATAATATAAAGGTAACAACACTTCATGCAATAAAGTTATTATGTCGTCAGTTTTATTATCCCCCGCCGAAAAGGCGGCGGGGGATATAGTAATAGTCTCCGTCCGTCCGTCCGTCCGACCTTCCGTCCGTCCGTCCGTCCTTCCGTCCGACATTTTTGTCCGGAGCATATCTCTAAAAGTATTTGAGTTATCAACTTGAAACTTCATAGGTAGATAGACCTCATTAAGGAGGAGTGCAGTGCACAAGAATGATAACTCTACCCTGCATAATTTTTGAGTTATTGCCCTTTGCTATTTTTCAAAATTGATTTTTGTCCAGAGCATAACTCAAAAAGTCTATGAGATATCAACATGAAACTTCATAGGTGCATAGATCTCACTCAGGAGGTGTGCAGTGCACAAGAATGATAACTCTACCTTTCATAATTTTTGAGTTATTACCCTTTGTTATTTTTCATACTTAATTTTTCACCTGAGTGGAGCATAACTCAAAAAGTGTTTGAGATATCAACATGAAATGTCATAGGTGAATAGATCTTATTGAGGAGGAATGTTGTGCGCAAGAATAATAACTCTTCCCTATACAATTTTTGAGTTATTGCCCTTTGTTCTCTTTCATGCTATTTTGTCCAGAGCTTATCTCAAAAAGTATTTGAGGTATCAACTTGAAACTTCATAGGTAGATGGATCTCATTAAGGAGGAGTGCAGTGCACAAGAATGATAACTCTACCCTGCATAATTTTTGAGTTATTGCTCTTTGTTATTTTTCAAAATTAATTTTTGTCCAGAGCATAACTCAAAAAGCCTTTGAGATATCAAAATGAAACTTCATAGGTGCATAGATCTCACTCAGGAGGTGTGCAGTACACAAGAATGATAACTCTTCCTTTCATAATTTTTGAGTAATTGCCCTTTGTTATTTTTCATACTTACTTTTACACCTGAGTGGAGCATAACTCAAAAGTGTTTGAGATGTCAACATGAAATGTCATAGGTGGATAGATTTTATTGAGGAGGAATGCTGTGCACAAGAATGATAACTCTTCCCTGTACAATTTTTGAGTTATTGCCCTTTGTTCTTTTTCATACTATTTTGTCCGGAGCTTATCTCAAAAAGTATTTGAGGTATCAACTTGAAACTTCATAGGTGGATGGATCTCATTAAGGAGGAGTGCATTGCACAAGAACGATAACTCTACCCTGCATAATTGTTTAGTTATTGCCCTTTTTTATCTTTCAAAATTAATTTTTGTCCAGAGCATAACTCAAAAGGCCTTTGAGATATCATTATGAAACTTCATAGGTGCATAGATCTAACTCAGGAGGTGTGCAGTGCACAAGAATGATAGCTCTACCTTTTATAATTTTTGAGTTATTTCCCTTTGTTATTTTTCATACTTAATTTTTCAATTCAATTTTTTTCTCAAAAAGTATTTGAGGTATCAACTTGAAACTTCATAGGTGGATAGATTTTACTAAGGAGGGATGCAGCACACAAGAATGATAACCTACCCTGCATTATTTTTCCGTTATTGCTCTTTGTTATTTTCAGCCATCAGTATTCACATAGGTTTCAAATCTGTAATCACTATTGCCATCAGTTTTCATTACCAAAAGACCTCTTAAAACGGAATTATTCTGCTCTACTACATTTACATTTCTTCCAATTAGCAAACACATTCGGCGGGGGATGGCCATGTTGACATGGCTCTTGTTATGTCGTCAGTTTCATTATGTCGGCATATTTTATACCGTAACTTGGCCATAATAAAAAAGGATACCCTTTTTCCAAATATCAATTATAACTGCATTACAGAAAATAAGAAAGGAAGATCTTCCCCGTGTCAGAAATACTGGGAAAGTAAAAATAAGAAGAATGAAAAGGTCTTACAAAACCTACCTGCTTGTAACTATGTTGATGATTTTCATTACGAGAATTGATGGCAAAACTTAAATCTTGTTCTTTTTCCAAATTGTAAGCGAAACACCACAACTATTCTGAATCAGAAACGCTATGGTAATGTTACAAACAATAGGGCAAATACTGAAAACTGCAGCAGAAGAAGTAGCAGCAGCAACAACAACAACAACAGTAGCATCATCAACAGCAACAACAACAAATAACAACAGCAGCAGCAGCAGCAACAACAACAACAACAGCAGCAGCAACATCACCACCACCAGCAGCAGCCTTCTTTAAATCATGTCATTAACTTTATCAACATCAGGTACCTCAATACATATTGAAATAAAATGACTAGATCTAGTTTGAAAATATTAAACCGATTAACTTTGAAACTAATAGAAATTTTGAATATGTAAGAATCTCTTACATTAAACTAAAACATTTTGGACTATTTCATATGGTATGATACTTGGAATATAACTGTGCGCGGCATGAACTCAAGAAGTTATTGACAGTGTTTGATTGTTTCATTTGAAATTGAAAGAAAGAAACGCGCATTAGAAAACATGATAAATGAAAAACCAAACAAATGTCTGATAACAAAAATGATCAGACTCGGAGCGAAAAAAAACCTCGTCCTTTTTTCTAAGCCTTGGGTGATAAATTTTGTAAGATCAGGCAAAATCATGGTATTCTCTATATATCTTATTGACATGTTTCCAACACATTCAAGGGAACAAGTTTTAAAGGCCCACCAAGCCCCCGACATGCTATCATCTTTATTTCTCAAATCCTTTTTAGTTGTTATATCTTATAACAGTTTCCAAACTAACTAATTGACCATATAGCTAAACATTCTTTCGCTTCTCTTGCTCTTTGGTAATTGGTATAGCGAGTTAGTATCTTGTATTTTGTGGAAGTCAAAATAGTACTTTGTTTACATTTTGCAAGCTTTGCAACACATATGAAGACTTCTAAAGATGACACATAGCAACACTCAATATACATTGCAAAAGTGTAACCATGTCGTGTAAAAGAGTGTACATGTATTTTAATGAAGTGGAAGATGCCAAAAGAATAAATTATTAAAAATCTAATTATTTCTTGCATTGGAAGAAAATTATGAGTTTAGTTTATTTATCGTACATGCATTATAAACATGGCATTTTAAGTTGGAATTCGATTATAATTATACATGTTTCGGTATTGTGAGAAAGCATGTTTAGTTCGACTTATTCTTATCTGATGTTTGCTCCATAACTTTAAATTTTGATGATTAAAGTCAAATGAATGCGCAGCTTACATATAATATGATGAGACTATCATTTTGGCAAAGATGTTCGTTCCATTTGAGTTAATTGGCGAGAATTAACCACCGTAACAAATGTTCAGTCTGACTGTGAAGAGTGAAATGCTTTTATAGCATCAACAGTTTCTTATATTTAGATGACTTTTCAATGATACTTAATTGGCTTTTCAGTGATTATTATTTATACTCAAGTTACTTGAATGAGTTGGCTGAATGAAGTTTCTAAGAATGTTTTGTTGTTTCGTAAAAAAAACTTTTGGCTCTTTTCAAAGACATGTTTGCACACATGATAACAATCACTTAATTAATCCGTTCAATTCTTCCGTAACAGTATCATATGACACTTTTCCCCTGAACTGGGCCGTGAAAAGCATAATCTAGGAATTTTGTATTAATGACAGACAATACTTATGATACTTTTGTAAAACTTATTTTACGTCCAATTTATTTTGTCCATGACTTTATAAGCGACGCGTTTGTAAAGGACATCATTTCCGGCATTTTCACGTTCTTTATACATTTTTAAAATTTAAACTGCATTTTCTTTTATTTTAATGCTAGCTGTTAGTTGTTTAAATTCCGTTTTTATAATATATATATATATAAATAAAGTTACGGTGTAGAATAGTTTTTAGGCACATGTATTCTGATATGTCTGATTTGACCATACATTCGCACATTGTCGGCTTTTTCCGTCAAATTTTGGTTAAGGACCTCAATTAAAAAAGTATGAATGCTAAGAATGAGAGAAGAAATATTTCGGTCTAAGTTAAGTTAAATATGTAAACAAATAGTAAGTAAATGCTGTGAATTGTTACACTTTATCGTGCAAATGTACACCTAAACTAAGTGAATTTTTAGAAGGAAATGTTACACTATTTATATACTTTTTTTCTATATATTTGAAGAAGCAAAATTACTAATGTTTATTTTGACTATAATTTGGATGAAGTTATTATTGTAAGTCAGTGGGAAATCTAAATTTATTTTGATCGTCTTACATATTTTAAAGTCATAATTTACTGATAAAGACTAATTTTCTTTGGATGTTGAATAGTACATGTATTATTTATTAAAGAGGTAAACAGTCTGATATTTATCACATCTACTGTAGTTGAAACATTTTAAATCCGTGTTAAGTCCAGGATGATTATGGATAATTGCCGAAGAGCTCCGAAAGTCAAATATAGCTTTGGAAAAATGTGTGCGATTCGATTGAATTATTTTTTGCATAATAAACCAGAGTAATTCTAAATGTAAAGCCGAGGGCTTTGAAGTTTTCGCGGAATTGAGATTTTTAGTAGAATCTTGTCGGAGTCTTTTACGAACATAGTCAAACGTTGAGATTTTTGTTTCTACACTTTACAAAACTTTTAATTTTGGTTCTTATAAGTTTTCTTCAAGGAAAGTCTTCATTTTCATTATGAATGAATAAAAGGCCATTTTTGTATTTTGGTTTGCAGAAAGGGAAGTCTTTTATATTGATTATATATATTTATTTTACATTCTATAATAGCTAAAGTCATTAATTCAGGATATATATTATACTGCATCTTTATTGATTAC